ATACATTGCTAGTCTTGGGCAATCCTCTGATTTGTAGTGTTGGCTTAAACATTTCAGAGAGGAGGACTAGAAGCTCAAGATAGTCTCAGGAACTCTGACATACATTTTAAACTTTTGTCCCTTTAAATGCACTATCATTAATTATGCAGCTGGGAAAAACAAGACAACGTTTTCTTGTTGTTTAGAGAGAACTTGTAATATAAAAATCATATAAAGCCAAAACAGCCTTTCAAGGCATGCATCAGATTCAACCCAATGGTTCTAGGAAACAAAACCAATATTGCCCCTTGTCTGATCAAATTCACCCAGCTAGAAAAGCAGAGTAGCCAAATCTTCACCTGTCTTTCTCTTGCTATTGGCTATCTTCTTTACCTTTGTATGGGGTTGGCCCAAGTTTGTTTGTTCTGAAAAATGCTATGGAAAAACCCAAACAAACATTTTGGCCAACCCAAAACTACTTTCCTGTATAATTTTAGCAGTATCCAGGATATTATGGACTTCCCTGGTGGCTCAATGGTAAAGAATCCACCTGCTAATGCAGGAGATACAGATTCAATCCCTGGGTCAGGAAGGTTCACCTGGAGAAGGAAATGGCAATCCATTCCAGTATTCTTTATTCTTGTCTGGAAAATCCCATGGACAGGGGAGCTGGCGTGCTACAGCCCATGGGGTCACAAAGAGTTGGACACTCCTTAGCAACTAAACAACAACATCCAGAATATTCAATATCATTTGTATGATGTTGATTCCCAAATTGATATCCACATCCCAGCATTTTTCAGAGTACCAGATTTATTATTTCAGCCCTCTACTGTGTATCACCTCTCTGGAGTACTAAAGTCACCTCTTAATTAATATATGTCAAACTTAAATTATCACTTCATCTGTATATTTATTTTGGTTTCCCTGTCTTACAGGGAATTGCAATAGTATTTACTCCTAGTGTCCATCTCATCCTCTCCCTCTTCTTTATCCCCAAATCAAAATTGCCTCAAATTCTAACAACAAGAGTAAAGAAACATGTATCTTGAGACATATTGCCGTTGTTCAGGGTATTACTTCTTTAACCTAGGGTAATCTGTGAGCAGACTCACTGTGGTAATTATTAAGATATTTAAGAGGATATATTTATATGTGATGTTAGCCACATTGTTTCATATAACTTTACATCAGACTTCCTGCCACTTTCTAATATCACAGCAATAAAGTGATGATATGTTTAAAAGAAATATGTTGTTTTTTTATGGCCTGAGTTATATTTTCAAACAGACTTTCTCCCAGTCTATTTTGCTAGAGGCCAGTCTAAATTTCTTTGTAGCTCTTTCTTTCTGCCTTTGAAAGTAAATATCAAGCATAGTATTGAAAACATATATGATTCTCCTTCCACTATTTTACTCTCATTCCTGTATGTTTTTCATGGAGTACAGAGTCGTTATGTCCACCACTCTTCAAACTAACATTCAGACTCCTTAGCACAAGAAAACAACTTTTCACAAGTCAATCACAATGTTTTCAATAGGCTTGTTGAATGTCATTTCATACACTATCTTTTCTTCAACAAAACAGAACTTACTATTATTTTTAAAACACACACAATGTTCGATTATAATTTCACAGTTTTTTTCCTGAGCTATTACTTCAATTTCTATGCTACCTAGAAAATTCATAATCATGTTAATAGTCCCAATTCAAAACTTCCTAATCAAATTCTTTTCAACTTCCTATTTGTCATTTTAATGTGATTCCACTGAGCATTGCTCATAGTTTCAATATAGGATAGTCTTTGTATCACATGGCATTGCAATTTATGTTTAAATATTGTGCTGAGTGGACAGTGATCTATTCTAGGAAAAGAAATAGTCTGATTCATCTGTTTATCATCAAGGCCAGGTTCAATACTAAGTCTCACCTCACCTGTAACCAACCAGCACACATTTCCTTGGCACCCTATAGTTCCTTCTCTTCTGTAATATTTACCAAGGTTGTAATGAAATAATTAATTGTACAGTTAATTCTTTAACCTCCACCTTTCCTAATAGAATAACTACAAAAATTTTCATTCACCTCATAATTCCCACCATCTACCATATTTCTAGCAAATAGTAGATACTCAGTAAGCACATACAGAATAAACAAGAGCCTGGAGATAATTCCATAGCAGTGAACAACAATGACCTAAATAACACTGAGTCTGTCACGTGATGATGATACAATATCCATCATATATCCCTTTATTCAGCAGAAACATAAAGAGAATTTAGAGCATAGTACATTAATCCATGTCCTTTCATATTTTTATATATAAACATTGCTTGATCTCACTTAATTTGATTATTAAAAGAAATTCTTCCCAATCACTTACTCTCTGAGTGACCCTATGAAAATATGTGTTTTTTTCTGATACTGTGTTTTTCTTATCTGTAAAATAAGAATAATGAACCTGAAATTGTATTTTTGAGAATTAAATGAGATACTATTAATATCAGTGCCTAGCACTCTGTTAGTTATTAAGGAATTATAATATCCCCCCTCTTCAACAGATCCGCACTTCCTTCATTCTCACTTCCTTTTTCCCTGCCCTCTCCCATCCTCCCTTCTTCTTTTCTCTTTTCCTTTCTTCCCTTCTCTACTAGAAGTAAACTCCTTTAAAGAGCTGTGTCTTACTCATCCTGTTATCTCTAGAACCTCACTATTGCCTTGCTGATACATAGCAAGTATGCAATAGATGTTGGATTCATATCTAAATTTTCTGGGATAAGGGCCATAACCATGTAAATCAGATAAATTCATTTGGGGATATGTTAATCAGATAAAGTCGTGTTTGGGGAAAGAGATATTATTTTTTAAAAAGTCTAGTTTCCAAGGTGATTTAAAAGAACTGTGCAAAACATATGTTTGTTATCAATAACTAGCCTTGATTAAAGTTAAAATGAATAGAGTCATTTACTGGGCATAAAATTTTCACATTTGGAAAAACACAAATATTTTAGAGAAGTTTCATGATTTTAGATTCACCAGCCTTGGGAATAAAGAATTTGTTGCTTTGACTTATAAACAGTCTGCCTTGTGGTTCTGTTTAACTTGAACACTGATGAGTTGAGCTTCACTTGTTTTGGAAACTAGTGATTTGTGAGTAGGAGAAACAGAGTGCAGAGAGTGGTTCTAATAATAAGCCCAAGGGGCTATCAAAGGAAAGGGTATTGGTCAAACACAGAGACTAACAGTTTGAGAGTCCAGTGGAAAGAAATTAAATATCAAAACTGGCAGGACCGAATAAAAGTTGAAGATTAGCCCTGTAGCAGAGATTTTAAAAGAGTTGGTGTCTTAAGCAGGGTTAGAGAAAAGGCAGACTGAAAAGAAAAGTCTTAAATTGAAATGGAGAGTTGAGAAATGCTGCAATTCTACTGAGAGAACATGATCTGAGTTTTCAAGCACACGGTGCTGTGCTGAAATTGGAAATGTGGTCAGCTGAGGATCCTGTTATGACCTTCCCTGGCCTCAGAGCCCCACTCCACCTCCTCATGGATTATAGTTGGTTTTGTTGCTCTTGCCTTTGTGTTTGCTCTTGCAGTATTGTAGATCTATTTCTAAAAGACTGAAATCAATTTCAATCTTTCATTACCCAATGTATCATTCTTCAAGCCAGATGCATTAACTACATCAACACTTGACATGGAAAGGATGTTAACAACAACAACCAAAAAAAGAAGACAAATAGGAGAATTAACACACTGAGGGTAAGAGGTCACCAGTTTCTCTGGTATGACTCATGTTCCTTGTAGAAATATTTTGCAATAATGATGGTAAAGCTTTTTTTTTTTTGGTCAAGAAGTTACTAGTATGTGTGTACGCCTGTGCATGCATGCCAAATCACTTCAGTCATGCATGCCTAACTCTTTGAAACTCTATGGACTGTAACCCACCAGATTCCTCTATTCATGGGATTCTCCAGGCTAGAATACTGGAGTGGGTTGTCTTGCCCTCCTCCAGGAGATCTTCACCACCCATGTATCAAACATACCTCTCTTATATCTCCTACATTGACAAGCAGGCTCTTTACCACTAGCATCACCTGAGAAGCCCGGTAGGTGTGTATACACTCACACATATTTATCACATTTTCTTGCATTGTTTTCCTATTTAGGATAGGAAAGGATATTGACCATTATAAAAACCTAAGCAAATTATAGTAGGAACTCCTCTGATGGTCCAGTGGCTAAGACTCTATGCTTCCAATGCAACTGGGGTGGGTTCCATCTCTGGTGGGAGTGCTAAGTTCCCTCATGCCACGATGTGGCAAAAAATAAATAAATAAATAAAAGTCAGCACCAACAGAAAATTATAGTAAATGTTGCACATATATCAACATTTTAAATGTTGTATTCTGTATCATGAAATTATAGAAAAATGAGTTTCAATTTTCTGTAAAATGAGCCTATGTTGAGATATTTATTTGCATCTGGATTTTGGCAATATCAGATAATGTTTCTTCTCTCAGAAGCCTGGAATATTTACCTTTGGGGATTTGAAACGATTAATAGCTGTTTGGACAGGTATTTTCTTCCAAGTGCTGATTCCTGTGGGTTAATGCTTTTGATACTGCGGTGAGCCCTGGGAGTGAGGAACTAAATTAATAGAATCCTAAGTGTCGCACAAGTGCTTTCTTTGTTTTCCTCTTTCTTCCTGTCCAACTCATACTGCTGATTGCAAAAACAGATCAGCATCAGAATTTAAGAAGGAAGTTGTAGGTAAAGTGACACCCCCACTCCCCGGAAAAGTAATGGGAGAGGAGATCTAAATGTGATTGGAGAGTCCCATTATATTTGCTCCAAAAAGCAATTGATCCTTCATGTGTGACTATATAAAAGCAACAGTATACAGAGAGATGCAGAGTAGAAGGAAGAAAAGAAAGGAAAGAGTTGAGACAGCTGACTTCTAATAAAGACAGAGAGAAAGAGGAGACTATCTTGAAGTCTTAATTGTTCAGGCACTGGGGTAAAATGGTGCCCATCATTTTTATGAGTACCTTTTTGCTTCAATTTACTGTTTCTGAGGCTTTGAACCCGTAAGGAATACTATATTACTGTTCTTATGAAAGTACTGGAAAAGTGATCTTATGAAATATGCTGTGTTAAAATTCAATTGTATTTTACCATTTCAGTTTCTGAGACAGAGTGCTGATTTACCCTGTAAATCTTAAACAGGAGTATGAAGGGAAATGACTTAATTTTTTTTCTTGATAGCTTTCTGCATACTCAAGTTTATTGTAATATCATGAAAAGTGTGTGTGTTTCAGAAATATGTCAATAAGCTAAAATTGCTTTATGCATGTTCTGCATTTCTCTTACCCTTGTTTAGAGTGTTAATTACTTTGTTTGCATAGGCAATATATTCTATGGGTCCCCTCTGTGATGCAAAGTCATTCTACAGAACAAGCTTGTCTCCACCTTTTAAACCTGAATGAATCTGTGTCCTTGAGTGTTGTCTTAGAATATGATGGATCCAATAGCACTATTTTTGACCAGACTGTGGAAGAGGATAACTTCTATGCTTGTGCAAATTTTGAGGTGAGGTGCAAAATTTGACTTTTCAGAACTTCAGATGGGAAGATGGAATTACTACTAAAAAATGAGTTTTGTGTCTGTTTCTCCATTGCTGCCCTGTAAATAAATTCTTCAGTACCATTTTTCTAGATTCCATATATATGTGTTAGAAAGGACATGGAGATGGGGGGAGAGGAGGAGATGTATGGAAAGAGTAACATGGAAACTTACATTACCATATGTAAAATAGATAGCCAACAGAAATTTGCTGTATGGCTTAGGAAACTCAAACAGGGGTCTGTATCAACTAGAGGGGTGGGATGGAGAGGGAGATGAGAGGGAGATACGTGTATACCTATGGCTGATACATGTTGAGGTTTGACAGAAAACAGCAAAATTCTGTAAAGCAATTATCCTTCAATAAAAAATAAATAAATCTTTAAAAAATTAGTGTTAGAGAAATAACAAAACTTGATTGGATAAGTTGTGGAATCTGAGAAGGAAAATTGGAGCATTTTTGAAAGGCAAATAAAAAGACAAGTTATATATACAATAAAACTTGTGAAGTACTGAGTTTTCTCTTGCAGGGAATGGTAATAAGACAATATAACTGTTTTCTGATGGGTTTCCCTGGTGGTTCAGCAGTAAAGAATCTGCCTGCCAATATAGGAGACATGGGCTCGATCCCTGGGTCAGGAAGATCCCCTGGAGAAGGAAATGGCAACCCACTCCAGTATTTTTGTCTGGAAAATCCCACAGACAAAGGAGCCTGGTGGGCTACAGTCCATAGGGTTGCAAAAGAGTCAGACACAACTTAGTGACTAAACAACTGCTTTTAGATAGAGAACTGTTTAAAAATGAGGATAGAGAATTAGGTAAAGGAATGAGAGATTGGAACTCAGGAACATAGAAAACAATAGATAAGAAAACATAGGAATGACTTTACTGGGAACTGTCCTCAGGCTAAATAAAGAAATTGGAACAAGTGATCAATAAATCTCCCATTAAGACATAATGGATTCACAAGGCTCTCTCAGCCTCAGAAGCAAACTAAGGCATTCTTTACCATCTAAATGTCTAAGAATGATTCTCCCATTTTCTGCTCTTTATGTTAAATAGGTTTCCCACACGTCTCCTGAACAGATGGCTTTTGTGACTCTGTTGGTTAAGGGAGATACTCTTAAAATCTTTGAGAGGAGATCTGTAGCACTCTCTTCAGAAGAGACAGTGACCTTTGTGCAGACAGATAAACCCATCTATAAATCTGGAGAGAATGGTAAGTCAATATTTATGTTACTTTCTTATTGTTGATTTCAGAAACTCTTTCTTCTAATATTAAGCAATCCAAACACATTATTAAATTTAAATCCAAGTTCTAATTTGGTCTTAACTCTTCAGATCAAGAATTTCTAGAATTTTGACCACTTGTCTAGGTCAGTTATGAAACAGTACACTTCAGTTTCAATTATTGAGTGTTTTGTTTCTTACAGTTTTGTGTTTATCTCACTGTTTACAAATTCTCATGACAGGCTTGCATAATACAATGGCTGCAAGCTAGGGTTGTGTTACTTCATAATTTACCAGCTGGAAAAACTAATTAAATCTCTATTTTGACTCAATTCTTTTCATCCGTAGAATGGAAATAGTAAAAGTATCTCATTTTTACTGCGAGAATAAGATAGCCAATGTAAAATAGTCTCTCTGTGTGTGTGCGTGCTAAGTTGCTTCAGTAATGTCCCACTTTCTGTGATGCTCTGGACTGTAGCCCACCAGGCTCCTCTGTCCATGGGATTCTCCAGGCAAGGATACTGGAGTGGGTTCCATGCCCTCCTCTAGGGAATCTTCCAGACCCAGAGATCAAACTTCCATCTCTTATGCCTCCTGCACTGGCAGGTGGATTCTTTACCACGAGTGCCACCTGGGAAGCCCAAAATAGTCCCTGGCACACAGTAAGTAATTTTTAAATGGCATTTATTATCATCATCATTATTATTCATACCAGAAAAAGGAATCGTAAATCTGATAACTTAAGCAGAGCCCCTCTTCATTATTGTTTTAAGTAGAAGAAAGCAGAAAGAACACCAAACTAAGATTCAGAAGGATATGATTTTTATCTTGACTCTGAGAATAAATTATCAACTTCTGCCAAGTCAGTTCTGGTCTTTGGGAGCTTTAGTTTTCTCCTTTATAAAATTAGAAGCTGGTAAGAACATCTACACACTTTGTTCTATGAGTCTAGCAGGCTAAAGTCCATGGGGTTGCAAAGAGTTGGATATGACTGAACATCTGAGCACAAAGATGACTTACTAAAAAAAAAAGTAAAAGAACTAAAACAGAATTTAGCTTATAGTGAGTTTTTCTGTTTTGCTACATTATGTTTTCTCTTCTGGATGTATTAAAATACTATGATGACAGTTATAGGTGCAAAAATAGCTAACATGGCTTTTCTGGAATTCTGCTAAAATCAATATTTGCCAACATTAATATATTTTTCCATAAAAATTACGTATAACTCATGTGCATGTGTCTGTATGTGTGTGCATGTGGGCAGTTGTGTCTGACACTTTGCAACCCCATGGACTGTAGCCCACCAGGCTGCTCTGTCCATGGGGTTTCCCAGGCAAGAATACTGCAGTGGGTTGGCATTTCTCCTCCGGGGCTCTTCCTGATCCAGGGGTCAAACCCGAGTCTCTAGTGTCTCCTGCATTGGCAGGCAGCTTTTTGACCACTAGCACCACATAGGAAGTCCACGTATAACTCTTACCATACATATTTCACATTTGTTCTTCTATGATTAATTCTGCCACCAAGTTCTGAGACTTCCCTATGGGCTGTTATGGTAAAAAGTTTCTAGTGGTGGCAGCAGCTTGTGTCAGCTTCGTTACCACAGGTCATGATCAACAGAGGAATTATAAATGTGAAATAAAAAATCTTTCCAAAAGGAACCCAAATGTCAAAGGGTTAAATCAGAGCTAGAGGAGAAGGAAGTGCAGTGTTCTATGAAAGCAAGGCAATTAATTTCACTGTCTATTTGTAAGCAATCATATCTGGGAGAGAAAATAAGAATAATAATTCTTATCAATAGCTATGAGAAAATTAATGATTAATAATAAGAAAATATTATTGTCCTCTCTTCCTCTTTTAGTTAAACTTCGTATCGTGACACTGGATACTAAGTTCCTTCCTATCAACGAAGTGGTGAGTTCAGTCATTTCAAACACACAATGAAATCTAAACAAATTACTCCATTGCTCTATAAGATATCATTGGGAAATTTTCCATAACTATGGAGATACATATAGGTATAGTTTCAAAGATAAACCTCAATATTAAACAAAAAACTTTCCAATACAGTGAATTGATTTTTACTTCTCTAGGTCTTTTCATCCTATTAGAAAAAGTGACTTACATAGAACTTGCTTTTCACTTCCCAGAGGAAAGTTTGAGTCTGTTTCAAATTCAGAGTTTTCCTGGCATCTTTGGCTCTAGAAACTTTGCCATCTGGAACAGGGGGAACTAAGTCAACATTTAAGTCAGATAATCCTTATAATGCAATATCTGGCCCCAAAATGAACTATTTTAATATTAACTTGCATTTTTCTTTTTTCTTTCAGTATCCCTTGATCACACTTCAGGTAAGAGATCTTTTTCAAATCCATCATTTTAAATGTTTAGATAAATATCAATATGTGTGTAGTTTTCATTATGCACAGTGAGAAATTAAGATAACTGAAATATGGAGGGAGAGAAATTTGTACATGCATACACAGTGTAAGGCATCATGTGAAGAACCAAAGAAAGGGCTGCCACTTTTAGTGTCTGCTGTGGGCCAAATGGGGTAACGGTGGATCTTCATGGAAAAATATAAGATTAGGCTCTTTATAGGGGCTTCTCTGGTGGCTCAGGGGTAAAGAATCCGCCTGCAATGCAGGAGACTCAAAAGACACCAGTTCGATCCCTGAGTTGGGAAGATTTCCTGGAGAAAGGCATTGCAACCCACTCCAGTATTCTTACCTGGAGAATCCCAGGGACAGAGGAGCCTGGAGGGCTACATTCTATAGGGTCGCAAAGAGTCAGACACAACTGAAGCAAATGAACATACAACACATACAGGCTCTTTCTAAGGGAGATTTATGTTTCAAATTGCTTGATTTTGGCTGCTGGCTCTTCTCAGTTTTAATTTAGCCACATTTTGTTTTCAGTTCAGTTCAGTCGCTCAGTCATGTCTGACTCTTTTGCGACCCCATGAATCTCGGCACGCCAGGCCTCCCTGTCCATCACCAACTCCCAGAATCCACCAAAACCCATGTCCTTCAATTCGGCAATGCCATCCAACCATCTCATCCACTGTCATCTCCTTCTCCTCCTGCCCTCAATCTTTCGCAGCATCAGGGTCTTTTCAAATGAGTCAGCTCTTCACATCAGGTGGACAAAGTATTGGAGTTTCAGCTTCAGCATCAGTCCTTCCAACAAACACCCAGGACTGATCTCCTTTAGGATGTACTTGTTGGATCTTCTTGCAGTCCAAGGGACTCTCAAGAGTCCTCTCCAACACGACAGTTCAAAAGCATCAATTCTTTAGTGCTCAGCTTTCTTCACAGTCTAACTCTCACATCCATACATGACCACTGGAAAAACCATAGCCTTGACTAGATGGACCCTTGTTGGCAAAGTAATGTCTCTGCTATTTAATATGCTGTCTAGGTTGGTCATAACTTTTCTTCCAAGGTGTAAGCGTCTCTTAATTTCATGGCTGAAGTCACCATCTGCTGTGATTTTGGAGCCCAGAAAAATAAAGTCAGCCACTGTTTCCATGGCATCATGATGCCATGATGTTTGTTTTCTGAATGTTGAGCTTTAAGCCAACTTTTTACTCTCTTCTTTCACTTTCATNGAAAACTGACCTTTTCTAGTCTTGTGGCCACTGCTGAGTTTTCCAAATTTGTTGACATACTGAGTGCAGCACTTTCACAGCATCATCTTTCAGGATTTGAAATAGTTCAACTGGAATTCCATCACGTCCACTGGCTTTGTTCATAGTGATGCTTTCTAAGGCCCACTTGACTTCACATTCCAGGATGTCTGGCTCTAGGTGAGTGATCACACCATCGTGATTATCTGGGTCATGAAGATCTTTTTTGTACAGTTCTCCTGAGTATTCTTGCCACCTCTTCTTAATATCTCCTGCTTCTATTAGGTTCATACCATTTCTGTCCTTTAACAAGCCCATCTTTGCATGAAATGTTCCCTTGGTATCTCTAATTTTCTTGAAGAGATCTCTAGTGTTTCCCCTTCTATTGTTTTCCTCTATTTCTTTGCACTGATCACTGAGACAGGCTTTCTTACCTCTCCTGGCTATTCTTTGGAACTCTGCATTCAAATGAGTATATCTTTCCTTTTCTCCTTTGCTTTTCACTTCCCTTATTTTCACAGCTATTTGTAAGGCCTCTTTAGACAACCATTTTGTTTTAAGAAAATAGAAATCATAAACACCTAAAAATGTAGGAGCACACAGAAGGTGATATTATAAAATGGACTCCACTTTCAGAAAAGTTTACAGCTCCTTCTACCAATTCAAATCTCTAGTGTAGTGTAATGTGGCTTTCAAATTTAATTGAAATCGCATGCCTGTCAGTAAATAGCTTGTATCAATCAACTCCATGTATGTATTAATCAACACCAACAGTATGTATTTTAATCCCTACATATAATAAAGTTTCCATGACTAATTAGTTCTAAAGGTTAATACATTGAGATCTAGTTCATCATTAATGATCATGTATATAAATATAGTCTATAATTTAAATGATTTTGACTTTGTTATATGGGTGACAACTTGTCCTTCTAGTGGGATAATTAAATATAAGGTTGGCCATTTTCATGTGTTCTGCATTACTAGTAACCTGTAAATAATATTATCTCCACTATAAACATTATAAACACTTCATGCAGATAATGTTGTGTTCCATGGAAGACAACAGAAAACTTAAGTAACATCGCTCTAAATGAGTAAAAGCTTTATTGTTTTCAGAAACTACTACACCCGAGTGTAGCAGGTTCAAGGTTAGGGCAGTAATAGCACAATGTTACTAAGGCTTCTTCTATTTACTCTTTTTTTTTCTTTCTTTTTTATTTTTAATAATTTAAAAGTATGATAACACATTTACAGGAGACTTGGAAAATACAGAACAAAGTTAAATATAGTTTCACCATATGCTGCAATTATTTTTTAAGAAGATAAATTAAGATTTTTAGTTGGAGTATCAATATCAAACTCTCAAAATTAATAAAATGAATATACAGAAAAGTAGAAGGTTATAGGAGACCTGAAAAGCACCATGAACCAATTCAACATAGTTAAGATTTATGCAGTTTTGACAAAGCAGTAGGATACACACTCTGTTCAAGTTCTCACAGACTATAAACTAGGAGATGCTGAAACATATCCAGGGATGTAGAATAAGGTGCAAAAATTTCATGATCTAAAGGAATTGAAATCATACAGAGTCTGTTTCTTTATCACTATGGAAAAGTAGTGAGTAATGTGTCTGTGCCTTTGTCGATATCTTTTTATCCAGATTTCTTTAATTATGGCTCGATAATATCAATACATTTATTGAAGCAGGGTCACATAAGCTGCTAAAAGCAAATGATGGAGGAAGCGTGGCTTGAAGGATGCTTTCTTATTGTGGGACTTCCATTTAACAGTGTGTAATTATTTTCACAATTTGAGATACGAGTGCAATAAAATGATAGAACTTTCTTTACTTCCCTGAACTACATGTGTTCAGTCACTTGGTCATGTCTAACCCTTTGTATCCCCATAGACTGTAGCTCACCAGGCTCTTCCATCAGTGTAATACTCCAGACAAGAATACTGGAGCGAGTTGCCAATTCCTGTTCCAGGGGATCTTCCTGCCCCAGGGATCAAACCCATGTCTTCTGCATCTCCTGTATTGGCAGGCAGATTCTTTTCTACTAGCATCACCTTGCTGTGTTGTGCTTAGTCGCTCAGTCATGTCTGACTCTTTGTGACCTCATGGATTTCAGCCCGGCAGGCTCCTCTGTCCATGGGATTCTCCAGGCAAGAATGCTGGAGTGGGTTGCCATGCCCTCCTCCAGGGGATCTTCCCAACCCAAGGATCAAACTCAGGTCTCCCACACTGCAGGCAGATTCTTTACCCTCTGAGCCACTAGGGAAGCCCCAACTACATAAAGGATCACAAATTAAAAAGAAAAGGATAATACTCTCATACATCCTCTGCTTTTATTTCTTCTTTATTTTCTAGGATCCTCAAGACAATAGGATTTTTCAATGGCAAAATGTGACCTCTTCTCAAAATATTACTGAACTCTCATTCCAATTGATTTTAGAACCAGTGTTTGGAGATTACTCTATTGTCGTGAAAGAAAAATCAGGAAAGACATTGACACACCAATTTACTGTTAATAGAAATGGTAATCGATTGCTAATTATGATTGTTGTCTTATATAATTGAGGTGTCCAAAGAACTGTTAAACAAAATAACTTCTATGTTAGACAAATTACAGAAGTTTGATTTGGTTTTCTGTCATTTTCCTTTCTTGGCCTTCTATGTTTTACTGTCTCTGCTTTCTTGCTCATCATTCATTGCCTGTATCCTTATTCTGATCCCTTCTTTTTCTCCTGAGGAAATATCCCATTTTTTTTTTAGAATCCAGACAACCATCTAGAAAGGATCTAAATGACTACAGCAAACAAAATGTGAAGCTCCAAGAATAGGGCAGAGAAAGGAAAGGGGAATGGTTAATTACTGAAACACCATCACGCACTGATGGAATCTGGAGAAGTTGAACCATAATCTATACAGAGACATACATAGAAAAATGTCATGTGGGAAACACATTTACATGGTTGTAATCATTTTTGCTCAGCAGTGTGTGAGAGCTGAAGTAACATTATATTTCTCTTTGTTTCCAGTGTTGCCCAAGTTTGAAGTTAAAGTCAGTGCACCACAAACAATAACTATTTCAGATGATGAATTCCAAGTCAGCACATGTGCTAAGTAAGTATTCAAGAGATTTAACTCCACCTGTCAATACAAGGCTTAGAGGAAACAAAAAAGGAGGTCAACCATGTAAACTTATGTATCTGCTTATATTAAAATTATTAAAGAAGTAATGGATTGTCACTGTAGAATATTTGAAAAACATTGAAAAATGTGCAAAATTACCTAAAATTAATCACATTAACTGCCATTAACACTTTATTTTTCTCTGGTCTTTTATGAGTACTTTCAACAATTATACTTTTTACCCACTCCAGTTAAGAAAACCTGTCTCTATATAATGCCAGTCTTTTCATGTATTCCAATTCCTCACTGCATAAACATATCTCTATGTGGCTATATCAAATTTATCTAACCACTCTTTTACTATATGACACGCAGCCTGTTTGATTTTGTTTTCCCAGTGACAAATAAACTTATAGTAATGTTTTTTGTATAAAATGTAGCATTTTAATTAAAAATTATTTACTTAAGAAAAATTTCCAGAATTGGATTTACTACAACAAAAGCGTAACATTACTATGACAAGTGTGTAACATTCTTTTAGCCTTTTGACTGCCATGTTGATCACTATATATGTTGTACCCAAGGATGGTTCCAACAGCTTGTCTAAAGCACCTGCCTCATTGAATCTTCACCATCAGTGGGTGTTTTCACTAAAAAAAGAAAAAGAAAAGAAAGAAATATTGAAAATGTCATAGTGGAGAAAAAGGCATTTTATCAATTTAATTTTAACTAATTTGAATCACTTGATGTAAAAAAGGAATTCCTATGTGACTTGAGAAATTATTCTTTTCTTTTGAGTGGATCATTTCTAATGTCTTTTATCTTTTTTAAAGCTGCAATGCCTTTCCTCAAATTTCTAATTATAGTAAAAAAAAAAGAGCTAATATTTATTGAATGCCAATGAATGAGCTAAGCATTATATTTGTTAACTTTCTCACCATGTCACTGTGAGAAAGGAGCTATTATCAAGTCAATTTTATAAAGAAAGATAATGAGACAGAGAATTGAAATAACTTATCAACATTAATGGGGTTTTTTGATGGCAAAACTACAATTTAGACCTAGGCTATCTAAGTTCAGTTTCTCTCCTAACCAAGACCTCTATTGTACTTTATATAAACAACTGAAAATGTTAATATTTGCCCTATTTGTTAAACATTGTTTATTTAACTAGTGACATGAAAAGTACTTGCCTTTGAATATTTTCAGTAGTATATTAAAGATACATTGGTAAAGGGCAGCCTGGTAGAAACATGGGGATTTTGCTGAGGATACCATGAAGAATCTTAGAAACAGTTCCTAGCCTTTAAAAAAAAATGTTCTTTGGACTCTAGAAAAACAATCATAAATATGTTGTTCCTCAGTATCAGTGAATGTGCCGAAGTTTTGTAAATGTAATGTATGAGAGATTATAGATTACCTGTATTAAACATAATAGGATAATCAATATAAGGATCCTAAACTGATTTCACTAGAAAAATCCTACAGAAAACTAGACTTGTCAGTGGGATTAACATCTATAATTTATCTGCTGAATGGTATGTTGAAAAACTACAATGCACTTTATCGGGTTAGTCAAAATATTTATCAAGTATCACCTTCCAAAGACTTCCTAAAAGCTAAATGTTGATATGGAATGGGGATTTATTTATTGATTGATAAGGAGTTGGGATTTATTGAAATGTTGATATGGAATTAGGATTTATTAAAACTTCCTTAATGTTATATTGTACTCAGATCTGACATTAAACAGTGTGTCAGTATCAGCAATAATCAAATCTTGCAACAGGACTAGAGAGTTGAGAGCAGAGCTCTGCTTGCTCCATGGTTATTTCTGTGCAGGCTAAGAGAACATGATGAATGAATCAGTGTGTCCAGAAAATAACATCAGTGACTGAGTTGCCAACAATTAGATTGCACAATACTGCATCGTTGTTTCTTAACCATTCCCTGGGACTTAGCTTGGAACAGCCAGAGGAAACAACAACAAATTAGATTATTTTAGCAAACCACCTCAGAGATGAATTAAGCTTTAAAGAAGGAGGAAAATCGCCCACAGGCAAAAGTATTTTAATAAACTGCATTAGTATTCGCCAAAAACTTTTCAGATTATAAAAGGAGAATGTTTATTCTGACCTGTATGAAAACTTAAAACCCACATATCTTGTGGGTATATGTCAACTTGTAGGTGATAATGTGATGAGTTTTATTTGATAAATAAAAGACAATAAGAAGACGTAAATAAAATATGCTTGGGTATAACATTTGTGACCTGATTAGAGTCTTGACTCTATTTTACTTGTAATTGATAGACTTGACAGGTTATAGTGAGTTGGATTGAGTCAAAATATCAGAAGCATTAAGAATTTTTAAATAGATTAGTGGAAAGAGAAAAAACGCGGATTGTGCCCTGAGGAATATCTGAGTTTGAATTTTAATTCCATCAGTTACAATGTGGAAAAGAGAGATACTCAATCTCAATTTACTAATCCATAAAATGAGATAACATACTTACATCTCAGAATCACTAGAAAAAATAAGTGATATATGTAAACATCAATGTCCAACTATTAGAAAAAATATTATAATCAATACATTTAATAATATTCAGTTTTACTGTATACTGATTTCAGATTTGTTTTTCTAAATACTAGTAGAAGAGATCCTTAAATAAGCCAAAAGCTCAAACAATTAATGTATTTGCCTTTGAATCTTTAAAAAGCTTGTATTATAGTCTTTTGTTGTTTGGGGAGAAAATGAAATATTTATTTAATCCCACCCCAAAAGACAGACTTCCCTAGTAGCTCAGACAGTAAAGAACCCACCTGCAGTGCAAGAGACCTGGTTCAATCTCTGGATTGGGAAGATCCCATGGAGGAGGGCATGGCAACCCACTCCTAGAGATTCCTGCCTGGAGAATCCCCATGGACAGAGGAGCCTGGCAGGCTGAAGCCCCTGGGGTCACAAAGAGTCAGACACGACTGAGCAACTAAGCACACACACACCCCAAAAGACATACTTTTGGTCAAAGCATATCCAGTATATGCCAATCCTTTTATATTTATTGAGTGAGAAATGAGAAGTGTTATTTAAAATATTAATCAAGAAATATTCATGATCCTGAGTAATTTGTTTTATTTATATGTATATATCTTTTGTGCTAGAGAAAGCAAGTGTTGTAAGCAATTTTTAAAATATTTTTATCAGATTAAAATATAACTTTTGAAACTCAATTTGATTATTAAGTCCAAGTCACTGAGATTTTGAATTTTACATTACTTTAAATTTGATTTTAAAAAAAAAAACAACCGAATCTGTCTAATTTAAATTCAGTGGAGAAGAGAATGCAAATAGATGAGCTTCCTAATTGAATTTGGTTGTTGGGTATACATAATTTAGAGATTTCACATATAACTTATTAATAAAAGACCATGAAATATGACCATGGTATTGTTCATATCACCAGTATATCTTCTCCTCCTAGGTATACCTTTGGCCAACCTGTACATGGGAAAGTCCACGTCCAGGTGTGCAGGGAATTTTTTTCCTCTGGGGCTTGTGAGAAAGACAAGAATGAAATATGTGAACAGTTTGTTGCACAGGTACAGATCATGATCTTTACTCCAAAAAAAATGAATTCTTGCTCATTTTCAATATTATTCTTTCTCTGATTCCATTTATAAAACAGACTGAACAACACTATTTTCCTGATGTGGATAATTGAAGTTATACATAGGTAAGGTGAAGAATGAGAAGAAAATTCAAGGTATAATTCATTCTCTAGGCCAAGTTCATTGCTCTTCACCTATATATTCATAGAAGTTTTAGAATTTGAAAGATCTTATTGCCTTTTTTGTTTGTACTGTTTAAATAACCTCTCTGACCTTGCTTTGAAGTATCATAATCTATCCTTTACATAAATGAATCCCTGATGGCACTCACCGTGCCACCTAGAATTCTCTTTTTGAAAAAAAGTTCACTTACAAATAGCTGCAATTCAGAGTATCTATTTTATTACCTTAAATTTGAAGTTCACTTCTGTAGCCACCATTTGCTTTTTCAGTCTATAGCATCATAACATTAATAATCCTGGCCAACTCTTTGAGGATCACCTTTAGACTTCAAAAGTGAAATGTGTTTACACCATACAGTTTGTATTTTAATTCTGATTGTCCTAATCACACTGAATTTGGTCAACAGGAAATTACCTAAAGGCTTTTTCGTTAATATCAATATTTGGTTAATACAGACAGAAACCTATATTTTAGGTAGGGATTGCAGACTTAAAAAGACTGAATGGAATTCTTTCACATCAGAGAACATTATTCTATGGTGTGGTTATAATATAATTTTGTCAGCCATTTTACCCAAGTGATGGGGGTTTCATTCAGCTAGTGTTTTATTTTTCCCCAGTGTGAAAAATGCAACAATAAATAATCTGCTAAAACCATTTTTATGTATGAGAAGCTTTATTTATTTGAAATAGATGTCTTGGAGCAGATTTCCTGAGTCAAATTAGATAAATAGATAGGTGGATAGATATAATCATATATAGATTTCATTTTTTAAAAATATTACTGCCAGCAATATGTGAATTTAAAATGTTTTACCATTTTGGTAGACAAAAATTTAGTTTGTTTTAACCTGCATTACTAGTGAGTTTTGGGCTTCCCTGGTGGCTCAGTGGTTAAGAACCAACCTGCTAATTCAGGAGATGTGGGTTCCATCCCTGGGCAGGAAGATCCCTGGAGAAGCAAATGGCAACCCACCCCAGTATTCTTGCCTGGAAAATCCTGTGGACAGAGGAGCCTGGTGGGCTATAGACAAGAGAGTCAGACATAGATACTAATCAACAACAGCAATAACCCATGAGTTAGAGCATATTTTCATATTTTCGTTATCAGTTTGGACTTCTTGTTTGAGAACTCTTAATTAGACCTGTTTTCCTGTTGCTGTGAAATGGAAACTTTCTTGTTTTATGTTGCCCTCTAACCCTCTTGCCAGAACTAGAAAAAACCTGCACACAGCAACAAAGAACCTCCGTGCCGCAAGAAAGATCCAAAGCAGCTAAAAAAAAGTACCCTCTAGTCTCTAAGCAAAATTTTTTCAGGTTTTTATTTAAATATTGACTTTGTGGTATTTTTGAAATACCAGAGCTCCTAATGTTTATGGGCTGTCAGCCTTAGAAAAAGATCTTACCTGCCATTGTATTGTACATGTAGCTATCTATTATAAAATTTTAAAAATTTATCTAATCATTATATAATTTTTATTAAGTTCTAAAATAATTTTCTTCCAGATGGATTTTCATCTGTGTATCCGCCTCTTGTACAATTTTGCCCTCCTAAATCATCTCATAAAAATGTTCATCTATTTTGTCAGTCTTTTACTTCTGCTTTCACTTTTTTCCTAATATTACTTTCTATTTCTGCATAATTTATTTTCATTTTCATTTTCATATTACTTTTTTCCTTAAAATTTTAGTTTATTTTATTAGTTCAAAAAAATGTTAGTTGCTTCTTGTTTAAAAAAAAACACACATTCAGTGTTTTTACATTTTCATTTAATCACAACATAACAGCAAAGATTTTGGTGTAAAGTATTTGTCCCTTGACAACGGCAACATAGATTATTATTGATTTACTTCACGTGGTCTGTTTGACTCAGGGATGACTGAAAAATTTTTCCTCTTAATTTCAAAGCAATTAAGGTTCTTCTGATTACTTTTTATTATTTCTTTTTAATTTGTATTTTAAACAGACAAACTTGACCTTTTTCATTGTTGATTTTATAGCTAATAGTTCAGAGCACCACATATTCTGGAATCAGAATGCCTGGTTAGCGCCACCACCTCCCAACTGTGTGACCTTGGGCAGATTATATAGCCAACCTGGGCTTCTTTCATTTATCCATATTAAGGAGATGATAATAGTGACTTGTTCATATCATGGTTCTGAGGATCAATGAATTGATATACCCCCCTAATGTTTTATATTTGAAATTAATAAACACTATATTTTAAAATAGAATTAAATCTGTATCTCTCTAATTACTCATATCACTGCTGAAAGATTATCTACAGATTTTTCTTTCATTTCACTTTATACTGGTAGCAATTTTAAAAATCTTTATTGAAATATAGTTGATTTACCATGTCATGTTAATTTCATATGTACAGCAAAGTTATTCACTTGCACACATATATATACATACATGTATTATTTCTTTTGTATTCTTCTTATACAGTCTTTTCCTTTATAGGTTATTACAACATACTGAGTATAGCTCCCTACACTATGCAGAAGGTCCTTGTTGGTTACCTAACCATATATAAGTATTGTGTATATTGTAATCCCAAACCTCTAATTTATCCCTCCCCTCTTCCCCTTTAATAATCACAAGTTTGTTTTCTATGTCTGTGAGTCTGTTTCTGTTTCACAAATAAGTTCATTTGTATTCTTTTTTTTAGATTCCACATATAAATGAAATCATATATTCATCTTTTTTCTAACTTTTGTCACTTAGTATGATAATCTCCTGGTCCATCCATGTTGCTGAATATGGCATTATTTCTTTCTTTTTTGTGGCTGAGTAACATTTCATTGTATACATACACCAGATTTTTCCTTTTTTATATGAACAGCTTACCTTGAAGTGTTTTGGTGTCACATATTTGAAGAGTGCTTCTACTCCATCTGTTCTTAATACTTCTCAAGTATTAAGGAGATTTTAATTTCTCAATCCTAAAATATTATTCAGTTCCATTTTTCATTCTTAAATTTGTTCCCATCAGTGTCTCCCGGAGAATATCCCTGAAATCTGTAAAATACGCATTACTTCCACTTTCTTTTCATTGCTGATGAAACTCCCCCCAACCTTCCTTGTTTTGTAATTCTTGATCATTTCACCAAGTTTGTGAGATGGAGCCATAGAGCAATTGAGGAAGTTATATATCTGTGCTGAAACTCCATATATTTTTTAGAGACTTTTAAATCCCTAAACTTTTAATTATACTTTCTCTTCTTTTTCAGTTGAAAAATGGTTGTGTTTCTCAAATTATAAATACCAAAGTCTTCCAACTCTACCGTTCTGGACTCTTCATGTCATTTTATATCACCACAACTGTTACAGAAATTGGGACAGGTAATGCTCATGGTTTATGGGCAATCTGGGGCTATATGCAGCTTCCTGAGAGACATTTACTGAGTTAACAATGTTCACGAAATACAGATCAATAATTGCACAGCATGTGGAGTACATTGCCAATAGGTCAACTTGAGCATTGCTTTTGAATAAGATTTTCCTAATAATACTTAAAATTATTAAGCAAATGCTCTATGTTTATATATGATCTGTGCCTGCATCAGTGAGACAGAGAGGCTTGACAGGTGAAAAAATTAGGTATCTCTTTATAATTTTGTGTAATAATCAACTGCCAAGGCCTAGTTTTTTATTTAATGAATATTTCACAATCTACATCTGGTAGGTCAAATCTAGCTCTTTGCCTGTTTATATAAATAAAGTAATATTGAAATACAACCATATTTACTCACCTTGCATAAGAGTGACAACAAAGTTGAGTAGCTGTGGCAGGGGCTTGTGAATCATGGGCTTAGAATAATAACTATCAGATCCTTTACAGAACTTTGCCAACTTCCAATTTAATACAACTGGATACATTTGCAAAGGCAAAAATTATTAGTGAAAAGTCTGCACATAGTGAGTGTACAATAAATAATTGCTTTAAAAATGAAACAGAAAAAGAGGAATGTGAGATTTAATTTGAGGTAATAAAACCAGATTCAGTTACTATTTCTTGTTACTTAAAAATGATTGCTGCTGCTGCTGCTGCTAAGTCACTTCAGTCGTGTCCCACTCTATGCTAACCCATAGACGGCAGCCCACCAGGCTCCCCCGTCCCTGGGATTCTCCAGGCAAGAACACTGGAGTGGGTTGCCATTTTCTTCTCCAATGCATGAAAGTGAAAAGTGAAAGTGAAGTCGCTCAGTTGTGTAGGACTCTTAGCGACCCCATGGACTGCAGCCCACCAGGCTCCTCCGTCCATGGGATTTTCCAGGCAAGAGTACTGGAGTGGGGTGCCATTGCCTTCTCCTAAAAATGACTGCAATGATATTATTTATAAACTTCTTTGTGTAAATCTACTTGCTAAATATTATAGTGGCCTTCAAATAATGGATGTTTGACATATTTATATTGTAACTTACATATGCTTGCCTCTGTTTATGACGTGCTTTTTTGGTATCACAACGAATTTCTACTTACTTTGCTATCAGATTTTTTTTTAATCTGGAAAAAGTGTAAAAACAATTACCTTGAAGTCTAATAATGATTTTGAAAGTGAAAGTCTTATTTTTGAAATTTCTATGGTATTCTCCATCATAAGAAGAGTTCCAAGCCAGAAATCACTAGAATGATAGGAGGAAGGACATTGAATATTCTCTCCTGCTTCTGATTAAAATATTTTCATGCTAATTACATTATTCAGCTTAATGAATTATATAACCCAATAAAGAATACTCTGTAGCCTGCTCCTAGCACCCACACCTCCTTTTCAATGTAGAACAAGAATATAATTTTGTGTATATGCATTTGCACATGTACAAACAAAATCTAAGCTATTTGTTCTTCTGAAATTTTTGATCAAATGACATATTTCCCATAACACTGCTTTTCATTTCTTGCAGGTGTGCAAATCAGCGAAAAGTCTTCTATTTTTATCACTCCAGTGCTTGGAAGTGTGAGCTTCAAGAACATGGACCCTTTCTATAGAAGAGGAATTTCTTATTTTGGAACTGTGGGTTTGAAAACAAAATATGTTTTCATTTCATTTTCTTAGGTCATAGGTTGCCTTTTGAAAATTTCTGGATACTTTTTTCCTACTTTCATAACACATGTGTAACATGACTGCATATGATATATTGGAAAAAGTCCTAGGCTGAAAGAAAGCAATATATACAATTATAGATATCTCCATATTATATATTTTTTAATAGAACATCTTTCTGCCTAATGGAATTTAAGACAATTACAAATAAACAATCACATTTGCAAATAGAAAATGCTTTCTTGGTAGAAATAAGACATTTTGAATTTTAAAAATTAATGCTTGTTTTTTGTGTGTGTACAGCTTAAATTTTCTGGCCCTAATAGTGTTCCGATGGTGAACAAGTTATTGCAGTTGGAGCTCAATGACAGATTGGTAGGAAACTACACTACAGATGAGAATGGTGAAGCTCAGTTTTCCATTGATACTTCCGATATATTTGATCCGGAGTTTCGTCTGAAAGTAAGACATCAGAGTGGATGAGATCCCACAGAAGAACTGAATGTTAGAAATTTTGAAGATTAGAAATCTCTTAAAAGATATCTCACATTGAAAATACATTTTAATACGCTTTAACATTTAGTGTATTTTATGTTTGTTCACTAAATGATACATAAGAATACTTATTCAAGATAACAGCCAATTACTATTATTATAAATTCTCCAATAACCAATATTTTCCTCTGAAAAAGTAGAAATAGCTCATAAAGATGATTTGGCTCCTTTCCTTTGACAATTTTGGACATAGATAAGAGAGATACTATGATTTCTCCTCTTCTGTTTAAACAGAATTTTGCATTTAAACAATTGGTTATTGTTCAAACTTAGCTGAAAGGCATAAGGCCTAACGCTGACTTCAATGACAAAGTGAGACGAACAACTCATTGTAAGCCTGATGAAATAGACATACAACTAAGGTCACATTTTATATATGAAAAGAGGGGAGTGCTCTTATTATTTTACTGCCAGTAACAACTCTGAAACGTTAACCACAAGCTAAGATTCTTCCCTGCCCTGAAGAGATAAGAGGCTTCCTATTCTATAATGACTATCCCTGGAAGATCTTTATATCTCTACAACCTATTTGCTTTCTTTTATCTTCTCAGGCCACATATGTCAGACCCCAAAGCTGCTACCTTCCCAGCTGGTTAATTCCACAGTACATGGATGGCCTTTTCTTAGTCCAACGCTTCTACTCACGAACCAGCAGTTTCCTGATGATTGAGCCTGAACCCAAGGAGCTTAGATGCGATCAAGAGAAGATTGTTACTGTACATTACTCACTAAACAGTGAAGCATACAGGGATGATTCAAACATCAACTTCTTCTATTTGGTAAGTCTCAGTGGGTCGATTCTTGGATCTTGTCTAATTGTCCGCTTAGCCCAGTAGAGCTCAGAACCTGTGCATCAGTTGGGCTATGTTAATCAGATTGAACCAAGCTTCTCCTTTTGCTGGTGAGTACCACTGTGTCCATGAAGAACAAACCCAGAAACAAATAAACACATAAAAATATCCAAGGTCATTTCAGTTTTTCCAAAGTTGAAAAACTTAATTATTTATTTATTTTAAACTTTTTCTTTTGCACTGGGGTATGGCTGATTAACAATGTTGTGATAGTTTCATGTAAACAGTGAAGGGACTCAGCCACACATACACATGTATCCATTCTCCCCCAAATCCTTCTCCCATCCGGGATGCCACACAACATGGAGCAGAGTTTGCTATGCTATACAGTAGGTGCTTGTTGGTTATCCATTTGAAATACAGCAGTCTGTACATGTCCATACCAAACTCCCCAACTATCCCTTTCCCCTCAACATCTCCCCCTTCCAGGGCAACCATAAATTCATTCTCTAAGTCTGTGAATCTGTTCCTGGAAAAATTTATTACTCAGAGTCTGCTATTTTACACATTCCGTTCTAACTCACATCAAGTATATACAGACCCTTCAGGAGAATAAAGTATTAGACAGCTATCAGAGAGCAAATTAGAAGGCTGACTTTGATGAGCAATAAAAAGAATTAGCCCTTTTGGTTCTGACCCTATCCATTTTGTCTCTATAAGGCTATGGAAAGGTGAAAGGCTACAAACTTGGAAATTAGGACTCCTGACTGGAATCCCCTCTCCTATTTATTAGGCGAGCTAGTTGATCTCGGGCAGATTGTTTAAGCTCTCTAAGCCTTAACTTCCTCAGCTATATATTTGTCACTGGAAGAAAAACAAAAGACTTTCCTCCAAGGGTAAGTATTACATGTCAGGCAGTGTTATAAAGGTGTTTTTTTTTTTAATTAACTCATTAATCAGCCCTATGAGTGTCTTCTTTTTATAAACAACGGAACAGGGGCAGAGGTGAAACGACTTGGCTTATGTGAAATCAGTTAGTCTCAACTGTTTCAGAGCTTTATTCACCCCCCCCCCATGGTGACTGGCATATCACTCACCAAGTTTCCAGCACATAATTAGCTCTCAGTCAACTGTGGTCACTTGCTCTGTTCCTTCCCAAGTTGTGAAAGAGTTCATTTTTCATATTTGTTTGTAAAAACTACTTTATCTTATAGAACAGAATTATAATTAGGCCATTCATTATCTAATAATAACATGATACCTGAGAAATGGAATATTTCCTGCCATATCAGTAAACAAAGAATGTCACAGTCATCAGCAGCTGTAGCCACCATGGTTAGTGAGCTGGTGAGCCCTGAGGGAACTTGATTAAGAAAAAATACTGGGAGTTGGTGATGGACAGGGAGTCCTGGCGTGCTGCAGTCCATGGGATTGTAAAGAGTCGGACACAACTGAGCGACTGAACTGAACTGAGCTTAGAAGCCACCAGACTACAGTCACTCACTGCAGGAAGTGAGTGAGGAAGTGAGTGAGCCCTGAGGAAACCTGAGAAATGAAAACACAGGATATTAGCCCCAGATAGCTGAGGTACATATCAAGGGAATGATTTCAGTGAGCCCAGAATCTTGCATCTTCCCATACATTGAGAAGTGCTAAATTCCTTAATTTGGGATATCTGGTTTTCATTAATTAACAATAACCTTTTGATGTACCTGAATTTTGTTGCAAAGCCCTCGCCTCCGCGGAGCAAGTCTCTCAGTTTTACTTGAAATGCTTTCTCCCGGGATTGAAGTCCTAAAATTTCCCACTGAATAAGCTATAACTCTCAACTTTTAGGTTGTGAATATTTTTTTTTAAGTCCACATACCATATTATCTAACATGCTATCACATACTGTGTTTTCTTTGTTCGGCACAGGTTATGGTGAAAGGAACTATCTTCCTCAGTGGACAGAAGGAGATCGGAAACAAAGGTGTATATAAGGCATTGATTTTTTTTTTTTAAACATGCACTCTACCTTCATTTTTCTGTCTTTTAAAGAAATGTTACAGTGATTCTAGTCAAGAAGTTAGGAAAGACACTTGGCATTACAATTTGTGGATAGAGGCCCAGGCTAGCCTGCTAAATATTTCAGTGAAAGAGATTTCAACCTGTTTCTATGATTGCCAGGCTATCAGATATAATATAGAAAAAGTGATGTCCAAAACTCAAGCATTGTTATTATCTAAACTATGCAATCTTCCTTCATATATATGCTTCCCATTCATTGATTCATTGGGGCTTCCTGGATGGCTCAGTAGTGAAGAATCCACCTGTCAATGTAGGAGATGTGGGTTCAATCCCTGTGTTGGGAAGATTCCCTGGAGGAGAAAATGGCCACCCACTCCAGCATTCTTGCCTGGAAAATCCCATGGACAGAGAAGCCGGGTGACAGTCTATGGGTCGCAAAGAGTCGGACATGACTTAGCAACTGAGAATGCACACAATTTATTGATTAATTAATTGATTTGCCTTTAAAATAAAGTCCTATTTGCTCTTTCTACCCACAAGCCATTCTCTTTTATCTAAGTGTACCCAGTGAGTCAGGAAACTTCTGGTACTCTGTCTGCTGCTCATCTCTCATATTTCACAGCCTGGAAGGGAAACATCTCCTTCCCCATCAATATCAGTGCTGATCTGGCTCCTGTGGCTGTCATGCTTGTCTACACTCTTCACCCCAATGGGGAAATCATAGCTGACAGTGTCAAGTTCCAGGTGGAAAAATGCTTTAAAAACAAGGTGAGGTCTCTTCTATTTCTTGCATATTCTGAGTGAGAGGGGTGGGCCGTTTACTCCTTGGTGTCTCCTTGTTTTTTGGTGCTTATAACCTTTACATGGTCGTCTCACAATCAGCATTGGCACAGCTCAGTTATTAGGAGATGGATCATCAAACAGAAGGAACCACTTTTGGCAGCAGTGCCAATCCTGGGGTGGTACGAGGATTGGTGAAGGCAATGTCCCTGTGAGGATGGAGAATTAAGGGGGAGAGTGGGCAAGAGAAAGATACAGAAACCTATAAAGATTTACTTGGAAAAGATCAGACATAGTCCAACTACTGGGTTGGCCAAAAAAATTTTGGGGGCTTTTCTATAAGATGCTATGGAAAACCATGAATGAAATGCTTGGCAAACTCAACATTTTCATGTAAAATAATCTTACTCATTCCTTTTCTTCCTTAATTTTAGGTTAGCATAAAGTTCTCAAAGGAGCAGGGACTACCAGGCTCCAGCACTGGTCTCCATCTTCAGGCATCCCCTGACTCGGTCTGTGCCCTCCGGGCTGTGGATAAAAGCATTCTACTGAAGTCAGAACAACAGCTGTCAGCTGAAAGTGTAAGTTCTCAGATTTCCTCAAGTCTTATGCTCCAGATGATGTTTTTATTTGAAATGGAACAGGTGAAAAATGTCAAACATTGTCTTTTTTTGTCTTTCCATGGATTGCACACTTAAATATTTTTCTTGGATGGCTCAGGACTCACAACAATAAAGAATTCTATGGATAATTATAATGGGTTAGGGATTATACAACTGTAGAAGTAACCATATATGAAAACCTAGAGTTAAATCTCAGTATCAAAAGGTGTGCTTGGACATTCTGTTATCTGTTAATAGATCTTATACTTTCATAAGCATTTCCAAACCTGCAATTTCAGAATTTTTCATCAAAGTCATCTCAGTTAAAAACTATTGGATATTTTAATTTCCCATTTTCTTTCATCTGTTTTTACTTTTTTTTTAATTGACGTATAATTGCTTTACAGTGTTATGTTAGTTTTTACTATATAACAAAATGAATCACCTATATGTATACGTATTTCCCATCCCTCTTTTTTTTAATTTATTTTTAATTGAAGGATAATTGCTTTACAATATTGTGTTAGTTTCCGCTGTACAAGGTGAGCCAGCTCTATGTGTACATGTACTCCCTCACTCTTGGCTCTCCCAGCACCCTCATCCCATCCGTGTACAGAGCATCCCTCACAGAGCACCCAGCTGAGCTCCCTGGACTGTTCAGCATCTTCCCTCTCTCTCTCTTTTACACATGGTAGCATGTATCTCTCAGTGCTGCTTTCTCAATTCATCCCAGTTCTCTATGTCTGTGTTTCTAGTCTTGCCCTGCAAGTACGTCCTCACATTTTGAAGTTGCATCTTTTCCTTCCTTTAATGATCTGATTACGTCCCATCAACCACAAGGTTTGGAAGCTGCCACTTCCAGGCCCATTTATTTTAAGCCCGTTTCTTATGGAGTCCAAAGACCATGATTCATCCTTTGACACTTAATGTTGTACTTTCTTTCATCTGGAGTTGACTGGTGTGTGTATCTTCCAATTTCTCCATGCCAGTCTTTTCTTTCCTTCATGTAGTCTCTTAAAATTTCCTTCTCCAGCTTCTCAACAGTAGGAGCTTTGTTGGAATATGGTGCTGATACTTCTTGTTGTTGTTGTTTAGTCTCTGTGTCTGACTCTTGTGATCCCATGAACTGTAGCCCCCCCCCCCACCAGGTTCCTCTGTCCACAGGATTTCCCAGGCAAGTATACTGGGGTGGGTTGCCATTTCCTTCTCCAGGGGATCTTCCCCACCCAGGGAATCTTCCTCACAAAGGGAAAGAACCCATGACTCCTACATTGCTGGTAGATTCTTTGATGCTGAACCACCAGGCAAGCCTGTTGGTATTTCTGCTAACAAGTAATTTGAAGGTCATGGTATCCGTATCACACTCATGCTAGTGATTACTTGTTCTCTTTGGTTTTATGTTCTCTTTGGAAGGATACTTGAGAAGATTTACAATCAGGCTGCTATCATTTTCCTCCAGATCTAGGTATTAACAGATAATCATGAATTATCTGTGCTCTCAGCCTTGGAATCACCCATAGATCTTCAGGCATCTCTTCCTTACATGCTATCTTAAATTCCGCATTAAAACAAAAAATTTCTGTGAACCACATAAAACAAAATTGAAGGCTTCCTCTCCTAGAATGAGCTGACTCAAAAGTGTTAGATGAAATATTACAGCTATAAAGAAAAGAACAAGGATACATGGTTATACAGGGGTGGGGGGAATAAACTGGGAGATTGGGACTGACATCAACACACTGCTATATATAAAATAGGTAATTTATAAGAGCCTGCTGTATAGAACAGGGAACGTGTCTCAATGCTCTGTAATGGAAAGAATCTGAAAAAAAAGTGAATATAGGTATATGTGTAACTGAATCACTTTGCTATATACCTGAAACTAACACAACATTGTAAATTAACTATACTTCAATAAAAAGATCTTCTAAATCATATTATAAGCACTTACATATTATGTGTAACTAGAATATATGCTCTTCTCTTTTTTATAATGAGATTTACATATTGAATACTGTTTCTTTTTGCCTTGGCTTCCTGGAAACAGATTCAGATTTGATACTATGCTTATTCATTGAACCATAGCAACCTGTTTTATATGTTTATTTACTTCATTTTACTTGATTGAATTTTTTATTTGTTGTTAGTAAATAAAATTTTTTAATGGCCTCCTTTTCCCTTAAACCATATCAAAATATAAAACTGAAAATAAATTAAAATGTATAAGGATTATAAAATAAATATGTGTTGATATATTTTTACATGAATAAACAGTTATAGCACAAAAAGTTGCCAATTTTTGCCACTACAAAAAAAATATTTCAAATAATTAGAAACCATGATATTTTTCTTCCAGGTGTACAATATGCTCCCAAATACAGAACTGGATGGTTATTTCTATCGTGGTCTCAACCTTGATGATGGCAAGCTAGACCCTTGCATTCCTCAGAAAGATATGTTTTACAATGGCTTGTATTATATACCTGTAAGCAACCATGGGGATGGAGACACCTATGATATTCTCAAGGTAAGGTCATTTTAAGCTTTAAAATTACTGCATGCTGGGACTTCCCTGGTGGTCCAGTGGTTAAGACTTTGCCTTTCAAAGCAGGGGGTGTGGGGTCAATCCCTGATTGAAAAGCTAAGATCCCAAATGCCTTGAGGCCAAAAAACACCCAAAACATAAAACAGAAGCAATATTGTAACAAAGTGCATAAAGATTTTTAAAATAGTCCACATCAGAAAAAAAACATTTAAAAAAAATTATTGCATGTCAATTTTAATTTTAGTTTTCTTAATGCATATCTTGGAGAAGGAAATGGCAACCCACTCCAGTATTCTTGCCTGGAAAATTCTGTGGACAGAGGAGCCTGGTGGGTTACAGTCCATGGGGTCGCAAAAGAGTCAGACATGACTATGCATGCATGCACCGAATGCAAATCTGTTTTATTATTTGTGCAGTAAAGAATCTGTCTGCAATGCAGGAGACCTGCGTTTGATCCTTGTGTAGGGAAGATCCCCTGGAGAAGGGAATGGCAACCCACTCCATTATTCTTGCCTGGAGAATTCCATGGACAGAAAAGCCTGGTGGGCTACAGTCCGGGGGGCGGGGGGTGGGGGGGGGGCGGTAACAAAAAATCAGACATGATCAAGTGACTAACACCTCCTTTTCTTTGAGATTGAGGTCAGTAATGTATTTAAAATCACTCAGAAATTGTCTTATAAAAAAGATACTCATTTTTGTTGATGTTTTTCTCTGTGAAAAATTAATTATGGGGTGGCTGAAATGATGATGTTGATGTTAAAGTTAAAACTTGATGTTAGAAACAATGAGACAATCTTCAAGGTATTGCAATAAATTTTATGCAGAAATCATCAAATCAAGAGGCTAAAATACAGTCTCAGCTTCATTTATACAAGGGCTATCACTGGAATTTTCTGAGGCTTCCTTTAGGGTATTTTTTAAAAGTTTTTTCTTTGTGGACCTTTTTTTTTCTAGTCTTTATGTAATTTGTTATAATACTGCTTCTGTTTTATGTTTTGGTTTTTTGGCCACAAGGCATATTGGATCTTAGCTCTTCAACCAGGTATCAAACTAGCACCCCTGCATTGGAAGGCAAAGTCTTAACCACTGGATCACCGGGGAATTCTCTCAAGGAATCTTTATGATTGCGGTCTTCTGGGGCTGCTGCTAAGTCGCTTCGGTCATGTCAAACTCTGTGCAACCCTATAGACAGCAGCCCACCAGGCTCATCTATCCCTGGGATTCTCCAGGCAAGAATACTGGAGTGGGTTGCCATCACAGCTATAGAAATAAAGGGGAGTAGAATCAGACATTTTTCTTCAAGTCCCAGAGCTCAAATTTACTGGCTGTGTCTCATACACGTATGTTCGTGTATGTGTGTGATGTTAATTAAGGCAATGATAACATCTCATAAATATTTTTCCCTTAAAATCAGATGGAGAATAATTTAAAACCCTTAGCAAAATCCCAGAATACAAGTGCTGAGTAATCATAATGATTATCATTTTTCCTCCAAATTAGAGACTTCACACACATCAAAGACAGGTGACTTGACTTGTGATATACCAGACCCTTGCTTGCTAGCAAAGAAAACATGTATAGTTATTATCTATTTTTGAAATTATAAGATAGTTGATGACTCTTTTTTAGGTCTTGTATGAAGACTGCTCAACTTTACCTTTGTTATTTATGTCTTTGAAGGATATGGGTCTGAAAGTCTTCACCAATCTCCATTACCGGAAACCAGAAGTATGTTCAACAGAGAAAATCATGCCATACCGTGGGCCGCTCTATCTAAAATCAGGAGGATATTCACCCATGTACAGTGCCCCATTGAAAATTGCATGTGGGTAACCAAGAATTGTGGGGGAAGATGGTTAAAAGGATTCATGGAATTGGTTGTATTTCGTATGACTATCCAAAACTGGGGTTTTTACATGTGCAGTATGTCATGTGTTTGTCTATGACTACACATCCTGCAGCTGAATAAAGCAGAATAAGGCAAGTGGAAATCGTATTAGCTAAAGGGAAGAATTAGCTTCAGATGTGAGAGGAAGTTTATTTTTATGGCAGAACACAACAGCAGAAATGTACAAACGGGCAATCATAATGATTACAGGAGGAGATGCCCTTCTTATGTATAGATCAGAATACATAGTTCAAGGCAAAGAGCATTTTGATCCTCAGATGACCAAACAGCTGGCATCAGAGAAATGTGTTCAAATACCAGTCAATTTTTGGCTTCCCTGGTGATCCAGGGGGTGCGTGTTCAATCCCTGGTGGGGGAACTAAGATCCCAGATGCCATGTGGCCTGGCCAAAAAATAGGAAAAAAGAATGCCAAATACAAAAAAGAATGTGTGTATATATATATATATATATATATATATATATATGTGTGTGTGTGGGTGTGTGTGTGTGCGCGTGTGTGTGTATATAATGGAGTCACTTTACTGTATAGAAGCAAGTAACCCAGCATTGTTAATCAGCTATGCTTCACTTTTAAAGGAAAATATTTTTAATGCCAAATATAGCCCAGAGGCCAAGGAAACAAGAGAAAATGTCTTTAGAAATTAGCAATGTTACTGTTGGCGGGGATGTAAATTGATACAGCCATTAAGGAAGACGATAAACAGCAATCCCAATCCTAGGCATATACCCTGAGGAAACCAAAATCAAAATAGACACTTGTATCCCATTGTTCATTGCAGCACTATTTACAATAGCTAGAACATGGGAGCAACCTAGATGTCCATTGACAGATGAATGGATAAAGAAGTTGTGGTATATATACAGAATGGAATATTACTAAGCCATAAAAAGAAACACATTTGAGTCAGTTCTGATGAGGTGGATGAACCTAGAACCTATTATACAGAGTAAAGTGAGTCAGAAAGAGAAAGATAAATATTTTATTCTAACACATATATACAGAATCTAGAAAAATGGTACTGAAGAATTTGTTTACAGGGTAGTAGTGGAGAAGCAAACATGGAGAATAGACTTATGGACATGGGGAGAGGGGAGGAGAGGGTGAGATGTATGGAAAGAGTAACATGGAAGCTTACATTACCATATGTAAAATAGATAGCCAACGGGAATTTGCTGTGTGGCTCAGAAAGTCAAACATGGGCTCTGTATCAACCTAGAGGGGTGGGATGGGGAGGGAGATGGGAGGGAGGTTCAAAAGGGAGGGAATATATGTATACTTGTGGCTGATTCAAGTTGAGGTTTGACAGAAAACAACAAAATTCTGTAAAGCAATTATCCCTCAATAAAAAAAATAAATTTAAAAAAGAAATTAGCAATGTTAATGTCATTAGAAACTTTAGTCATTAGGATGATGGAATTGGCCGATACCAAATTGCTTCCTGGCAGACACCAGAATGTCAGACGAGAAACTCCATTCAATAAATAGACACGACTTTCTCTAAATTTGACTCTGGAGGAACAATGTAGGCTGATTTGTGTGTGTGTGTGTGTGTGTGTGTGTGTGTGTTGCTCTTATTTTAATAATGGGACTGATTTGAGCATCAAAACACTAACACCTAGGCTGAAATGTACATTTATTGACACTGAGCCCCAGCAGCAACCCCTGTATCATGTCCCACTAAGCATGTGTGGTCAGAGACATAGCTTACGGGTATGTCATTGGAATGTATATTTTTATTCTCTCTCTTTAAAATATTTCTCTTCTTTTAGCTGGTGAAGTCACAAGGGAGAATTTTGACTCCATAGAACAGGTTATAATTGAAACAGTAAGAACAAACTTTCCAGAAACATGGATTTGGGACCTTGTCAGCATTGAGTAAGCGTTTTTCTTTCCTATATGTCTTTATTTCTATTTTCTTTTTGTCTTTATTTCCTAAACTTTATTTCTGAGTATATAAAGAAGAACCATGTTGGTAAAGTACAAAACACCATTTACTTGTATGTACTGACCACATATTTTATTTTATTTTTCCTCTAGTATTGTTTCTTGTCTGTTCATTTCATGCAGATAGATGCAAGCTACATGAATTAGGAAAAATAGTGTGTTTAGAGAAATGTGACCTTTTTGAGATTAAATTTTATAGAAATCCAACTCTCAAAATACTGATCTAACGCCTTGACAAAGATTCAACTATACTGATCTATGATTTATTTTTAACCTTCAGTTAATACTTTTTTGTTTGTTCTGGATTAAATTTAGTTTCCTGCTTTAGATAAAGGATGCATTTTACCTAGAATCTCTCTTTGTAGTTCCTCCGGTTCAGCAAATCTTTCATTCACCATCCCTGATACTATAACCCAATGGGAAGCAAATGGCTTCTGTGTGAACGGTGAGGCTGGATTTGGCATTTCATCAACAGCTTCTCTGGAAGCCTCCCAACCTTTCTTTGTTGAAATAACCTCCCCCTCTTCAGTTGTTCGGAATGAACGGTCTGATCTGATTGTCAGTGTCTTCAGCTACCTGAATACCTGTGTAGAGGTAAATTATTCCCTTTGATCTGGAGTCAAAATCTAACAAGGCCAAGAGATTCCTTGAATATTGCCATATTCTTTTTATTCTCAAATACAAAATGGTACTATAGAGTCATAAGATTTTTCCTCAAACAAAAACAGTTGCTAGGGTTTCCCTGGCAGTCCAGTGGTTAAGATTTTGTCTTCCAATGCACATGAGGGTTCAATCCCTAGTCGGGAAGAGAAGATCCCACATGCTCCATGGCTAAAAAAACAAAGCATAAAACAGAAGCAATATTGTAACAAATTCAATAAAGACTTTTAAAAAATGGTCCACATTTAAAAAAAAAAAACTTTGAAAAGCAAACAAAAATTTGCTTTAATTTACAGCAGTGATTTAAATACTGCTCTAAGAAAGTCATTTTATAGTATGTGTCATGCCAGATTTATCTTTTTATGAGAGGAGTCATTTATATGATTTATTTTTGATGATATAAAACAAGTAAAGTAGAATTTTCTCAAGATTGGAGGAGGAATAGTGGCAGCAAAATATTTAGAGTGTCACTCTCATTGCATGACTGTTATTTTAGATTTTCACTCAACTGGAAGCATCTCAGGATTTTGAGGCATATATCAGTACCCCTAAAGACAACAGCAGTGAGATTATCCAAGCTGCAGAGAAAAAGACGTATGTCTGGACTGTTACACCTAAGAACCTGGGTAAGTAACTATGTGTCTATGTCAACCTCTCCTGAAAAACCAGTCTATTTTTATTGCCTCTGTTTCCCTTAAATCCTCTATACAGAAATAACTTTCTCCCTCACATTTGAAATTTCTGTTTTTAAAAGTTCTCGTTTTTTTAGGGTCTCAATTAACATCCTGTTTTTATAATCTAATTTTGGGTTTTGCTAATGTTTGTGTGGAGCAAACCCATCTTCCATTTGTTTAAAAGCAGAATGTGATTGAAATACAATGTAAAGGCTAATTTGCATCACCCATCAAGTCCACCCAAGTGAAGACCGTATTTTCACTAATGCTCCTCAGTTTCTTCACTTCTCATTTGCTTCTTCACTTGCCATCAGGAACTCATGTTACTTAAACAAAAATTGCTCCTCAATCTCAATGATTGCCAGGATTTGTAAATCTACTAGATGTGTTATGCGACACCCAAAACACTGAACACTCAGATGGGAATTAAACACAGAGAAGAGTATAGTCTCAGTGCATAGATTATCTGCAATATAGAAAACCAAATTTGACAATATCTTGTTAAAAATACAAGGGAAGGGAAAAGTTAAAAAGAATCTAGTAAACAAGAATGCTAGATGTAGTAAACACATTTTCATCATTATCACTAATATCAAAAAGTAAAATTTCCTTTATTTCATATCCTCTATTCGTTATATTCCTTTAGCAATAAAGAGTAATTTATGATATTACTTTAGTTCACCTGACATTGGTCTGCGTAAGACTAGTTTTCCTATTAGATTTTAAGTTTCTCAACTTCTCTAACTATACAAGGTCTTCAAAAATCTTCCACCAGCAATTGAGATAGAATACTGTACTGACTTGTATGGTTTTATGACTTTAAGTGGAGGACACAGTTCTAAGAGTGGAGTGTCAAAAATCTATCTTAAAAAAGAAACAAGACACACTAACAAAAAATAAGAACAGTGTATTGGTTATGCATAGGTATATAGGCATACAGATAATATGAAACCAAAAGTATTATATTTCTTATTTCTCTAATTTTCACAAGAAAATTGGAGATCCATTTTAATTATGACCTATGATATCACTTCCCAGTGACTCCCCAGAAGGCTTCCCAGATAGGGCTTCCTTGGTGGTGCAAGTGATAATGAATCCACTTGCCAATGCAGGAGACATAAGAGAGGTGAGTTCTATCCCTGGGTCAGGAAGGTCCCTGAAGAAGGAAATGGCAATCCACTCCAGTTCTTGCCTAGAAAATTCCAAGGACAGAGGAGCCTGATGGGCTACAATCCATGGGGTTCACAAAGAGGTGGATACGACTCAACTGACTTAGCATGCACACACATATGTTGTAACAGGGAGTAAAAAACAATAGATTCCCTGCTAACATTTGATTTAAATTCAGTGCCCTTTCCACTATGTCGTAGTTTACTGTTTTGGTTTGTTCAATCTTGAAAAGAGTTAGAAGGCCTAGTTTTCCGACTTTATGCCCCTATATTGTCATATGCAAACTTTAAAAGCAATCCATATCAAGGAATTTGCTCAACTGGCTTTGCAGAATAGTCTCTTTTTTTCCATAAAATTTCTTAAGTTCTAGTTAGGTAAGTGAATCATTTACTTCATGTAAGGAATCTTGAAAGAGATAGAAAAGGACATCACATTATCTCCGGGCAGGAGAAAGAATGAGTTATTTTGGCCCAAGAATAAATATGATGATAAGATTCAGTTTGTCTGATTCAAGAAGTGATTTATAGACTTTTAATCATCTCCCTTCACAGAAGAGGCCAGTGGTCAATGTAATTTATATTTGGGAATTTTTTCAGGTAAAGTGAATATCACCATAGTTGCTGAGTCCAAGCAAAGTAGTGCTTGCCCAAATGAAGCACCTGAGAGGCAGAATCTGAACTGGAAAGATACTGTGATCAAAAGTCTGTTGGTACAGGTAAGTACATGCAAAACTATCAAGCCCTCCACATACAAAATAGAGTATCTAATGGGCTTCCCAGGTGGTGCTAGCAGTAAAGAAGCCACCTGCCAATGAAGGAGACATAAGAGACTCAGGATCCATCCCTGGGTTGGGAAGATCTCCTGCAGGAGGAAATGGCAACCCACTCCAGTGTTCTTGCCTGAAGCATCTCAATGACAGAGGAGCCTGGCGGGTTACAGTCCATAGGGTCACAAGAGATGGACACGAGAAGTGACTTAGCATGCATTTAATAGGTTAAATAATAAAGGACATTCTCTGTGAAGAGACTTAATTGACCACAATTACTGTTGACAAACAGTGGGACATGACTGAGCAACTAACACTTTCACTATTGACACAAGACATGACATTTTAAATAAATTAAAACAGCAATAAAATTCATCCATTCTTTAATTAACACTTAACCCAGGATAGAAAAATGTAACTCGTGAAACAGGCTTGGATTTTTTGTTTGCTCCTAACTCATGATACTTCCTATACACCTGATCCTCTTATCTGATCCTCTTCCCTCCCTTCCTTTAACTGACTCGAAAATCCAAGAGACAAATCTACATGCCTGTACAGGCCTCACCATCCTCTAAAAGAATCACTGCTTGTCAATGGCATCTTCTCACCTCACCTTTTGGCATGTTCTTACTTTGAAAAACACTTTTGTTTGTCTACTGGGGAAGCTGGACAGTGCCAGGGAAGCTGAGTATGTTCCGCTAAGACACTGAAGTTACCACTGTCCCACAGAGAACTATGGGAACACAGGGCCAAAGTGGGTGTTGGTAACATAGAGTGACTTGCAGATAGAAACAGAAGGGGACAATGAATGGATCTTCTCCAGCGACAACCATGAGCCAGCCATGCCTATGTGAGCTGACACTTGGTTGCTTTTTCTGTGTGGAAAGATGACCCAGATCCCTGACTTTATGCTTCTGTTTACTTTACTCTTTGATAGCCTGAAGGTATTGAAAAAGAGATGACTCAAAGTTTCCTTATCTGTACACAAGGTAAGAGGATCTTTTCTTTTTTAACTTTTTTATTTTGTATTGGGGTATAACCAGTTAACAACACTGTGATAGTTTCGGGCGAACAGCGATGAGACTCAGCCATACATATACATGTATCCATTCTCTCCAAAATTCCCGTCCCATCCAAGCTGCCATGTAACATTGAGCAGATTTCCATGTGCTGTAGGATTTTCTACATGGTCAAACTACTCCTAAAGGAAATTTATCCACAGGTCTGTTTATTTCCTCTTTTTCCACTTTATTGCTATACTGAAGTGACTTTATTCTGAATATCCAATGGAGGATTATTTCATTTCATGCCCAGTCTTTAATGTATAATTTTAGCAAACATAAAGGATATTTATGAGGTTATTTTTTGTTGTTCATCTATGACATTAATCTGTCTCAGCCTACTTCTTTCATCTTGTGAATTTTTTGGGTGGTGGAGTGGGTGGAGCTCATCTTGCATGTGAGTGTGGCACAGTTTTGGTCAGTGGGAAGTCAAGATTATGCCCAAACAGCACATAGTATAAGCAGTTCATAATGTAACCTTTGCTTCTGTACTCCTGGGATGAAACAACCATAGAAAACCACTGCCCTTCAATAGCCAGTTTTATGGGCCTCATGAGTATTGCTTTATGTGGTTGATGATGATCTGATTTTTTTTTAAATTTCTTGTTAACATTATTTTTGTGAGGGCCACACTGCACACCTTGCAGGATCTTAGTCCCCAGCCAGGGATCAAATCGCGTGCCAGCAGTAAAAGCACTGAGTCCTAACCACTGGACGGCCAGGGGATTTCCTGATGATTTGATTTTAATGCCTAGTAAGAGTCTCCAAGCTTTCCCTTTCGTGTGTAATGTTCCATATGTCATAATCAGTAGTTTTTACTTTTTTTTTTTTCATACACAAGTAGTTCAGGAACTAAACTGACAGAGCATAGAGACCATCTCTAACTTGCAGATTTATATGCCATTTTCTAAATGTATTGTTATTCTAAACTAGATCAAAATCTAAAGTTCATCTCTTCAAACAAGCAACTTATAAAAGACATAGAAATAATGAAATATATTACTTAATATGTTTCTCCCACAAATCTGCTACTATTGTTTATGAAAGAAAGCCATACATTATTTGTTTTATTGATATTTTTTTCTTTCCAGGCACCAAAGTGTCCAGGCAGATAGATTTGAATTTGACAAATGATGTCGTAGAAGGGTCAACCAGGGCCTTTTTCACTGTTGTGGGTAAGTTGGTTAAATTTTTTTGTTTCACAGTGATTTGAAAATCTTAGTTGAGGTGGTCTTTAAAAAAAAAAACTTAAAAGGATGGAGAGATTTTTCTTACAGTATCAGTTGGAGGGAATTACTGTTGAGGATGATCACCTATGTTTGTTTCTGCATGGGATCTGAGGGACTTACAGCACCATTTTCAAATCCATGTCCCTGTGTGATGGAGAGTATACACAACCATGTGTAAGACAGACAGCTAGTGGGAAGCTTCTGTACCGCACAAGGAGTTCAGCTTGGTGCTCTGTACTGACCTAGAAAGGAGGGATGGGGAGAGGGGAGGAGGGAGGCTCGGGGGAGAGGGGAGGAGGGAGGCTCGGGGGAGAGGGGATATATGTATACATCTATTAAGAGCTGATTCATATAACACAACATTGTAAAGCAGTTATACTTCAATTAAAAATTTTTTTTTAAATCTGTGCCCCTAGAAGATATTTTTTATGCTGAATGGTAATTGGTGTTTAGAAAACAAAGAATCCTATTATAGCCTGTCCATATGAAATATTAAATATACCTTTGGAGATCAGAATACACTTTGTTAGAAATGCTGGAAATTTCCTCAGTAAAGGAGAAAACTGTTCCAGAGAAGTCAAATTTCTTTGTCTATTATTAACATCTACATTTTGGGGGAAGAGATAGATTACATTGTACAATTCACAGGGTCAGTTTCTCAAAAAACCAAACCAGCAAGCAATTCAGTGAACAAACACACTTTCTTAAATTCCTTCTCTCTGTGGTAATAGGAGATTTTCCAAAACATTTTTCATACCAGAAACCTCTTTCACTTCACCCTCTTTAGAATTGCTTCATGAAAACATTCTTTGTTTCCACGTTTTAGACCTATTTTAAAATGTTCTTTCCTTCCATTATGCCTCTTTCACCTATTGTCATTAATGCTGAGATGCCAAGTTTAACAAACAGTAAGGTGATGGACAGGGAAGCCTGGCATGCTGCTATTCATGGGGTCTCAGAGTCAGACACGACTGAGTGACTGAACTGAACTGAACTGAACTGAGCATTCTGTTTGTTGTGTTTTTAGGGGATATTCTAGGGCTTGCAATACAGAATCTGGAGAATCTTTTCCAAATGCCCTATGGAGGTGGAGAACAGAATATTGCCCTGCTAGCATCTGATACCTACATCCTAGACTATCTGAAATCTACTAAACAACTGACAGAGGAAATTAAATCTAAAGCTTTATTCTTCTTATCTAATGGTGAGAAGATTGAAATAATTTCTGCCTATAATAGATTAAATAAATTATTACTAATATCAAGATGTCATAAAGCTGCTCTTATGAGGTAGTCTCATGGGGAAAAAGTATATCTGAAGAACTGAGTCACTCTGAGTCCTAGCTTATTTTGGGGTGTTTTTGTTTGTTTGGGGGCTTTTTTGGAATTCAATATCTGTATGATCATTTGGCTTCACAATTCAGATCTGTACTGTTTCACATTATGAGCTCAGGTTTGTTTTTTTTAATGCCTAATATTTTGCCAAGCTACTTTGTTAGTGGGTTTTGTAATTGTTATTAATGGTAACTATAAACAGTTCATTTATCAACTTCTATATTTGTTTGCTCAATTGCATTCCATTGAGATTAAGTGATTGGTTTTGTATTTAGAAAGATCTTGTAAATGTGATATCAAAGAAAAGTTCAGGAGTATAATTTATTTTGTTCTTTTTTTTTTTTTTTTTTCAGAAAAATAACACTTAAATAAAATAACCCCAAGAAAAAGAATTAAATAATTAGTAATATCATACAACTATTGAGTTAGAGATAGTCACTTGGAATATCTTACTTGTCATTAAAACCCTATAAGGTAGAAGCTATCTTTTCTCCCTATGGATGGAGAACCTGAGTTTCAGAAATTAAACTTGAAATGATCATCTAGTCATTTATGTCTGTCTAATACCAAAACACAGCGCTGTTACTACACCATTATTTTTCTTCTAACTTTCTTAAAGAATAATTTCCTACCATGTTGTATTTTAGGTTATCAGAAGCAGTTGTCTTTCAAAAACTTGGATGGTTCCTATAGCATGTTTTGGCAGAGGAATCAGGAAGGAAGCATATGGTAAGAGATGAAAATTTTATTTTAAATAATACAAGAATGATCTGAGGAGGACTTGTGAGGCGCTGAGGGGAATTGCTCTTGGTGGGGATTTCAAAGCAACACTTTTGTGTTTCAAAGTGAACTCCTAGAGGTGAATCAGATAAAACTAAAATATTTGATTATTCCAACTTTAAAGCAACAATGTACTAAAAGTCTCATAACAGATTGTTTAGATGTCTGGTCATTTAATGACACCCCCACCAATACTTCCACAGTTTGTGGTAAATGGCACATCTTAGTCTGCCTCTCTTAGCCCCATGTAGATTGAAGAAAGTAAAACTATAAGGCTCCAAAGCACCTAATTACACCCATTCCATTCTTTCTTCATGTATGGACAATCTGATGGATTCTATAGAAATTTGTGCGTAAATGTGCTGGAAATTACATGCTCTTACTTTCACATATTGCTGTTCATAACACTTTACTGACCCAAAGGAAAGAACTGCTGTCAATCAAGACTTGTTAGAGTCACTCTCAGCCAGATTAGATCCACCCATCACCCAAAGCAATCAGTGATGATGGACCTAATGGGAAGCTACATCGTTTCTTTTTTATCTAACTTCTGTCTAACTGATGATTGACTTTACAGGCTCAGTGCTCTTACTTTTAAGACATTTGCGGGAATGAAGAAATACGTCTTCATTGATGAACTGGTTCAAAGGGAGACCTTGATCTGGCTTGCAAGCAAACAGAAAATAGATGGTTGCTTTAAAAGTGATGGCAAGCTTTTCAACAACGCCTGGGAGGTGAGTGATTCTTACAAGTAAGCTTTCCTTTCTCCTTTGCATTACCTGCCTTATCCAGCTCTTGGAAACATGAGTATACTTCTTATGAATATTACTCCTGCTGCTGCCATGATAGGCTTGTGGTGTGTAGATAAAAGCCATTATTACTGCTGCCTGCATGTTACTCTCTGCCTACACTGAATTCCTCTTGAATCTATTATTTACCTTACTGTTCTCAGTCCTTTCTTAGAACCAGTCTCCTTGAGTAGATAAACTGAAAATAGGAGAGAGGGGACTGAAAAAGAACCTAGAGAGGAAGCAGTTTATAAATTTGAAGCCAAACATTATTCATTTCTATTTATGGATGGTAAGCCAGTAGAGGAAGTGGATCTTGTTATTTATATTGTTTCAATGAAGCACTGATCCAATACCTCCTTAAATCAAGCATGAGGACCTCACTTGCTTCAGGTCAAAATGCAAATGAAATAAAGTCTGTCCTTGATAGACCTATTCTTTCCCTTTACCTGTCCATATTTAGGTATGTCACTTGGTATTCTCCATATGCTGCACCATGGTTAAAAAAAAATACTTTTTTAATGATATTTGTCCCACTGTTTCTCTCCTGTCTAGTTTCACTTCAGAAGGATAGCTGTTCTTTTGGGCTCTGCTGTCCTATATGACTCATGGTTCCTTTGTGTTTAGGTTGGAGATGAAGAGGACATTGTACTCACTGCCTACATCGTTGCTGCATTCCTTGAAGCTGGACTCAATTTCACTGTATGGGTCCCATTGTCTTTTAGTTCCAGTCAGCTGAATGCACATGAATTTGACTATCAATTCAGAGTGATTTAAAATTCCTGGATTGGGTGAAACATCAAGAGAATAATTAATTCATTACCACTCTTTAACTTTACACTCGCAAAAGTTTTTTGATTCATGCATGCTAAGTTGCTTCAGTCATGTCCAACTCTTTGAGACCCTATAGACTATAGCCTGCTAGACTCTTCTGTCCATGGGATTTTCCAGGCAAGAATACTGGAATGGGTTGCTATTTCCTCCTCCAGGGGATTTTCCAGACCCAGGAATCAAACCCACATCTCTTAGGTCTCCTGCATTGACAGACAGGTTCTTTATCACTAGCACCACCTTTTTGATTCATAGAAACCTTTGATGAACAGTACTGAGTTTTTCCCTAGAGAAGATATACATACGTACACTTATACAAGTGTTTCATACCATTTTGGTTTCATTCCATTTCATGCCATATAGCTCCTGAAGTTCAGCTAATAATTTCAGATTAAGAACTCTTATTCCAAATATAACTATAACCTGATATTCTGTTTATCTAACCAACTCAGTATGCAAATATTTTCAGCTTAAGTGTGGTTCATCTTGGCTGCCTCTCAATCCAAAGTTCAAATTATCCAATCGCAAAATCTATTCTTGAAATAAGATCCTAGGAATTTTCAGGGTCATTGGTATACCTCAAAAACCATCTTTAGAAATATGAGCTCCTATTTTGGGCATTAGTGTAAAATATCTTAGGTCTAAAAATAAATATTTATACTTTGCCATGTAGAAAACATTAATATCATTAACTAAAATACAACCAGTCAGACAGAGATTGCCATTTTCATACTACTTAAATTTTTTCAAATACTGATAATCCATTAAAAATGAATTTTAATGATATTTATAAAATATAATTCACATGTACAGAAATGAACAGGTTTGCATGTAAAATATATTTCCAGGGTATATTATATACATTATAAAGAATGATTAGTTTAAACAGTCACGCTTACAAGTATTCAAGTATCATCTTAAAATGAATTGTTCTTCTTCTTGACTAGTTTCCTGCTCTTCGAAATGGGCTCTTTTGCTTAGAGGAAGCCTTGGAAAATGGTGTCAGAAATGGCTACAACCTTGCAGTTCTAGCTTATGCTTTTGCATTAGCTGGAAAAGAGGAGCAAGTGAAATCCTTACTCCGGACCCTGGATGAATCTGCTACAAAATTAAGTAAGTATTATTTTCACTTTTGCTAATGGAGAGGCTTTCAGGCAAACGATCTGCCTGAAATGCAGGAGACCAGGGTTTGATCCCTGGGTGGGGAAGATCCACTGGAGGAGGAAATGGCAACCCACTCCAGTTTTCTTGCCTGGAGAATCCCATGGACAGAGGAGCCTCATGGGCTACAGTCCATGGGGTCGCAAAGAGTCAGACACAACTGAGCAACTTTCATTTCACTTCACTTCACTTCTTTGTTAATGGAGATGACCCTGAGAATAAACCGATGAAACTGAGCAATCACATAGCAACCCGTTCTTTTCTAGCATGTTTCTATTTCTCTTCTGAAATTTCTGAGTGACATTTAAAAAAAACAAAACATTATATATTTTCTGGTTGCCTCTTCTTCTTTTCTGCTCATTTCTTCTCAAATGAGTGAAGTAAAGAAACTCTAGTGGAGTGAATGCAGATAATAAAAACTGCTTGTGAAACTTTGGCCTTGAACTTCAGGTCAAAAACTTTGACCTAGCAATAGGAAGTTGCTATTTGAAGTTGCATCAGTTCTCTAAGGCTGCCATAATATAGAGTTGGCCAAAAAGTTCATTTGAGTTTTCCCATGAAAACCTGAACAAACTTTTTGGCGAGCCCAATGAAAACTCTGTACTGGGCCGTGCAGGGGGCCGGGGGGGGGGGGG